ATAATCAATAATTCTGTGGAAATTTTAGTTGCCATTTTTATTAAGAAATAGATTAAGAAAAAAAATTAAAAAAAAAAATTTACTACATAATATTTATGATTCAGTGTGATGTAATGATTACCAAATCAAATGTACTACATACTCGAAATACTATAAATATTAATAATGATTATTAATTAAAATAAGATGCAAAAAAAATAAATAAATGAATATTCCATTTTCTTTAATAATTTTAAAAAGTTCACTACAAATTCGAATACTGATAATAAATCTTCCGTTTAATGAACATAATCTTCTAAGTTATTGTTTCCCCACCTTCAAAAAATCTTTTTAAATCATCAACACTAAATATTCACGGAATAATTCATTGGCATCAAATCCTTAGTAATGCACGATTAACTGCTGTGGATGAAGAAGCAGCTGACTTCCTTCATTTAGTTTGACTTTGAGCACGGATAAAGATTTTAATGCGGACATAGAATGTACTGACTTAATATTATTACGGAACGGATAGAAGGTGTTTGTGATTTGGAAGTACATTGATTAGAAAAAATCGTCCATCATTTTCATTTTTTCATTTGAACTTTTGGAAGATGACTTAACGGGCAAAAGAACTTGTGGTCAATATGTAGAAATTTCTGCAGAATGTTCTTCAGAAATTATAGTCGAAAAAGATTCTTTTGGTGGCAATACAGTTGATTTTACTGGTCGTTCGCGAGCTATTAGATGCTGATTGATATCTTTCCAAAGTTATTTATCGAAAATCTTTTTATGTGGTTTAATTTTATCCAAGACTTCTTTACCTAAAATATGAAAATAACGAAGATGCGATAAACATTGTTATAGAGTAGTTTTTAGGGTAAGGAAATTTTCCTTGATCCAATCATCAAGGTTTGTAGGAAGAGTAGAAGTTTAGGCAATTCCCCACTTGATGACATAATCCCAAATTTTAACTTCTTCGATTTGTAAATCATCTCGTCTGAGAAGAGATAATAATGCAGATTATTCGAGAGAAGTAAAATCATCAGTTTCAAAAATAAGGTTTGGATACTTTACAGCAAAATCATTACAAAAGGTTTCTAATTTTTTAAAATTGTTTTTACTAAAAATAGAATGATAAATAAAGAAAAATGATTTCTCAACCGGGAGTCTTTAGTTTCAATAAGAAGAGTTTCTAATCTGTTGGTTAATTCCTCAAGGTCAAAATCATCAGCAACCAACATTAAATCATAAATAAATTTAGTTTCAATATCTTCTAGATCAACAGACAATAAATATTAAATAATAAACGAAACAATAAATAATAAGAAAAAAAATTTGCACTAATTTTCATTATTAATTAATAATAACTCACTGAAGAATAACATTAAAAATTTGAGCGGAACTGCTTGACTTGACGATTATTTTAATATTATTTTCATTTGGCTGAATATTTTCTAATATCTCTTCGAAAATAAGACGATCGGAATTCCAATACGTTGGAATTTGCCGTAAACGATTTTTCTTTATTTTTAACTTCAACTATTACATTATAATTTTCTTTAAAATTATTTGACAAGTTATCTCAAAATCTTATTGAACTTCTTAATGATAAAGACATTTTTCTTTTATGTAAATTTTGCAAATTGAGCGTCAAAAAAAAGGCAGTGATAACAAAATAGACAATATTAATTTATGCGATTATTCTATAATAAGCGCACAGTTTCTTATTCATCATTATAATAATCAAGCAGATCACGGATCACCTTATAGTTTTTCATTTATTCATTGATTTTCTTCATACACACACTTGATCATAATTTTTTGAAAATTAATTCAATAAAATTATATTTTATTCAGGGGATGATAAAATTGAATGACAAGATACATCAAAATTCTGATAGTTTTCATAATTAGGTATCATTTTCTCATAAATTTCTTTCTTACCATTCATTAAAACTTCGTTGAGGTGATAAGTTCCTTTTTTTGTTATTGAATGTTTAAGTTTGTATGTCATTTTAATCCATATTGAGAATTTCATAGTAACATTTTCAACTCTTCAACAGGCTTCTTTATTTTCTTAAATCTTTTTTAAATATAAATTGTAATTTAAATAATATATCTTAAACACTCATTATCTATTCTAATGCCATATAATTTCAGATTAATAAAATAAATAAATAAATATGAAAATAATGCAATAAATAACTTTGATTTTAAAAAATTATCTTTTATCTAAAGATTTTTAATTGGAAATTCGAGTAGATATAAAAAATTTCAATTAAAGTAGGAGACATAAAAAATCAATAAATTGATAAATTTAAATGAAAAGTGTTCTGATGATCTTATAGGCTTTCCATAATCAAAGGCATAACTTCTACAAACACAAAAGTGAAATTAGATTTATTCTTATACATCCAAAAATCACAAAAACATGGAAAATATCCATTTTGATTATTTTTGGATACATTTTACTCTGCTAAGAATTGAATTTTCAATAAATATTACCATTTAATATTTATCATAAATATTAATGTTATAACATGCTAAGGATTATATCCTCCGATAATTTCATCTGTTCTCTTAACTTTTACTAAAACAACCATACAAGCGTGACCATGGCAGATATTCTAAAATGTTTGTGATGCAAATCCATCTTGAGTTCCACCCACGTAATATTTAGTTAATATTGATAGTAAGTATATTAATCTTTATACTTATTTCTAAATAATAATAATTTGGTATTTTATTATTGAAATATTTAATAAAAACTTAATTTTTAGTTTTGAGAAATATGATGAAAATTGTGAACCAGATGTAGAAGATTGATTTTGAAGATGATAAGTACATTAACAGAAGGTGAGATAAAGATATAAAATGTAATGAACGGATGTAGTAAAAATACTAATTGTTTAAAATGAATACCTGAAAAGGCGATGGGAATTAATAAGCGAGATCTGGTGTTTTTTTAAAAAAAAATTCTTTTAACTCGTTTTCGGTTTGTATTTTTTTTCTCTTTTATATTATATTATTATAAAATTTTATTAAAAAATCTATCGTTCTTTATTAATGAAATATCAATTGATATTATTTATTATGATTATATTGAATATTAGAATTTGACCAATTCAAGGTAATCTGATTATTACGTCGGAAATGAGGTGTATATTAGGTACGGACCTTTCGTATCGAATCATTTCAAATTATTCTTATTATGATTATTATCAAGAGCAGACGAATTTGTCAAAGAGAGAATTTATTTTATTTAGTCATCATCACTAATGTAATTCTATTTTATGTGTATATATATTTTTTATTTTATTCTTTTTATGCTACGTTGTTTTTTTTAAAAAAAACTTTACCCGTTATACAGGTCAAGAAACGATATTGAAGTATTATTGGTTCAGATGACTTTCCATTCGTCAATAACATCAGAAGGAAGAGAGTATGATGTAACACGTTCATTTCAATAATTGATGATAAAAACGTACCCCAAAAAAGAGGAAACATTCGAGAATCAAATGTCACGAGCAATCTAAACTACTTTAAGCAATGGTGACTAAAGTGATTATGCCATAGACAAATCAAGATCATGATGATATGTTGATGAGAAAAAGTAATTATCTACCACTGATTTAATAAAACTACCAAAATAAGCTGATATTTTTAATTTTTTATTTTTTTTATTTTTTATTTTATCTAAGTAAAACTTCCCCCTATAATTGATAAAATTCATATTCATCCTTCTAACCACATTTATTCATGTTTAAGGATTCTTAGAATGAAGTCCAAATGCCTTAGTAGCATTTTTCAAATAAGGTACTTGAATTAAAAATCCTTGTCTTATAATATAATTAAACTGGCTTTATTAAATTTCAGGAATAAATGATCTTAACCAAAATTCTACATACATGAAAATATTGAAGATTCATGAGTAATTGTTATTTTTGTTACAAAAATATTTATATTTAATTTGTAAACATGAAAAATAAAATAATAATTAAAGTTTACGGTTGTTTTGGTTATTTCCGTACGTTAGGTAGATCAAAAAAAATAAATATTGCACATCATTTTATTTTTAGTTTTTCATTCAGAACGTCAAAAATATGTGAAAATCGAAAAGTAATTATTATTTTTGTTAAAAATATTTATATTTAATTTGTAACATAAAAAATAAAAGCTTAGCTTAATTGCATGATCAAAAATCAAGTACTCGAAATCGTTACGAAAAAAAAATTTCTTTTTTTTACTATTTACTATTTTTATATATAAGAATTCTTTATCACAAAAATCTATCATGTGAGTAATTAAAGAATTAAACAAATACTAATAATAAAAATTTAAAAATTTTATTTATTAAAAAAAAAAATTAATAACTCACTTGTAATATTCATATACAAATATTTTTTGGGAAAATTTTTGCAAATTTTTATTAGGTTGATGAAAATTAGTAATAATTTCTCGATTTTACTTTGATATTAAATCACATGAATAATGAATAGCGACACATGATCATATATGGGTGGCACAATTGGCTAGATGATCATGAATCCCATAATTTTTTACAATTTCTATAATTTATTATATTTAAGGAATACTCTTACATATACTGTTGGAGTATCTCCCTCCATTATTAGAGAGAA